AAGACGGTGAAAGTTGTGCCAATTGTTTGCGAGGAGATAAAAACAAAAATGTTGCTGAGCTTGTTAGCCGTCCATGAATTGTTTTTCCAAAACATAGAAAACAAATTAAGTTGTCTAATGATTTATTATCTGTTGTAATTTAATTTTCTGCACTATGATGTGTTTCTAAATTTTTTCATGTTTGTCATTTAAATAAAGCATAAAAATTCAAGCTTATAAGGCGATCAGTTCTTACATATACTTATATCTTCATAATATAATGCTTTCTACTTTCTACAATAGATAAAACGATTATAGATCATCCACATCAAATTTTTTTGAATAATTGTCGTCAAGGTAACTTATTTATGCTACATTTAACAATTTTATTACTTTGTTGCTTAACAATTATATTATTACACTTATTTTTTGTTACATACAAATCTGACAAATGCGAATTCTAATTAATGGCCAAAATGTGTTGATCGTTTATATGTTTTGTATTTTCTTTTCCCTTTTTATGTCACATCTCCTTCGCTTATTTAAAATATAAACATGAGAAACCAACTGGTAATTGGGATAGGGAATATATATTTTGGCTTTTTGCTTAAGAACACATTAACTCTTGAATTTGTTGAGTTAGGTTTTCTTTTCCAGTTTGGTATCAACCTTGAGAATATAATTACAACCATTAATAGTGTTATGGTTGAAGAAATGAGATAAGAGAAGATTTATATCTTTTAGTTATATAAGAATTTTAACAATAATTATTTAACTATATTTTGATTTCCTTTAATGATCGCGCGAAGCGCAAGCTAATTTACTAGTAATATATATATATATATATATATATATACTCAGACTTTCTAATCAAATTCGTACCTGATAAAATAAGTAGTAATAAGCATCTCCGACTTTAATTAGTACTCATTTCATCAAGTAGAAGTATTAAAAATAAAAAATTTGAAAGTTTATATACCGACTTTAAAAGTCAGTGCAAGTTTTTTTTTTTGTAATTAAAAAAAATACTCCTATTATTTACCAAGTATATATGTATAGTACAAAAAATAACACCATATCTGGACAGCAACCCCAGATAATTCGGGGCCATTTTGCCTTAATTGCAATTTGCAAGAATGGGATCGGATGTGTGACATTAAAACAAAAACTAAAAGGAAAAAAAATATCCACTTGTCGTAATTTACAGGATAGGATTCCAATAAGGTAGTGAGTATTATGATTAACATACGAGCAACTGCTATTGAGTATCTAACAGAGTTTAATTTCTTGTGACGCAAGACAAGAGCCATTCCAGTCACAAGTACAAAATTAATGCTGAGTTCTACTTTTTTAAAGATTTTCTTGCCTGAATTCTTCCTAAAGATTTTCTTTTTCCTTCCCCAGTTTTGGTTCTGGAATTTCTCTTTCTCTTTTCTTTCGGCAATAAAGGGACAAACGATACGTAAAACAGACGCTGAATACTCAGCTACTTTCTGTTTTCGGTTACTATATAGTATATCCTAGGACTAGGATGTTCGTTCTCATCAAAACAACCAATTTATTAAAATTTAATATGCCCTTCATTTCTAATCGACCATTATAAATTGCCATATAAGTCTGAATTTGAAAATAGTTATTCATGTCCCTCTTTAATTTATCTTTATTTTGCAGAGCATCACACTCTCTGTGGTTTTCTCTTTATTCCGTTTGGCTTATGGTTTAAGTCTAGCGGTCTAGTTTCAGACTACAAGTCTAGTGATATTGATATTACTAACATTTAATTAAGCCATTAAGGGGTGGGTAGGTAATCTACTTTTCTTCTTTTTAATATATATAATATGGAGAGACGTAAGCATGAAATTTTACTCCAAAATGATCAAATTTTAGGCAATATGAATTTGCACTAGGATGGTCCTCATCCTCATTCTGTGTCAAGTCAATTTTGTCCAAACAATTGATTGATACGTTTATTATGTATACCAGTTAACTAAATTAAATTAATGCTATTTTTTTAATAAAGGTAAATGCCTTTTTGTTCATTATCGTCGAATTGTCGAGTTATTATTGGCACATGGCGTATTTAAACCAATCAAGGATATGGACCAGTTATATTATTGGCACATGGGATATTTAATTTTGTAAATCAGTGGTACGGACCAGTAAATTTTATTTGCTTAGATAGCAGTAATCCTCTTATCTGCCGCTCTCATTAATTTTACGGATAATTTCAAAGAACTCCTTCCAGGTTTCGCCATATCACACTAACCTTCCTTGTGATTTATAATATTACGCCTACCTCTCTTATTTTAATTTTTTTGTAACCATTCTTTAAACTCATTCAAAATAAATATAAATAAAATACAATTTGACACTCATACCTATATACACTCATACCTCTATATTTCCTTTTAGTAACGAGATAATATTTTAAACTACAAATAGACTATAATTATTAAGCTTTTAATTTATTCTATGTAACAAAACTACTAAAATATATTTTATTGTTATTACTGAAGAAGGTTATCCAATTTTTAAAATGTATATAGAATGAGGTAGTCACAGTATCCCAGTAGCTTGACTTGCAAATATATAATATGCTCATGACAAAAGGTCAGAGTTGGTGACAACATTTACGAAGCTACGTTATTAATATTCGACATTAGTCTCTTCCCATTTTATTTATTTTATTTTTCAAAAATATTCTAAACATATCCAAACAAAATAGCTGCTACGTCGGTTTCATTAGTTCTTATGTTGTTTTCAAGGACCATTTTGATGACAAGAAAAATCAAACTTTCTCTAACACTCGAGTAATTAAATTCAATGTAATTTCTCTAATTGAAAGAAATTAACATTAAAAGGGAAAAATCTGTCAAATTGTATTTTATTTATATTTATTTTAAATGAGTTTAAAGAATGATTACAAGAAAATCAAAATAGGGAGGTAGGCGTAATATTGTAAACCACAAGGGAGGTCAGTGTGATAGGGTGAAACTTGGAGGGAGGTCTCTGAAATTATCCGTTAATTTTATTCTTTTATAGCTCCGCTATTTTATTTTTGGAGTATTATCACTTTAAGCCCGCGCCAGAAACTATTTACATCTGATAGCCGAAAAAATATATAAAACTTGTATAAATTTTGTATATAACATATAGAATATATATATATATATATATATAT